CTCTCATCTGATCATCCCCATTCTGGGAGACTATTTTTGCAAATCTGCGTGGCAATGCCGTTTTATTTTCTAAAGTCTGCCTCCCCTTGTTCTTCCGGCCTTTTAACAGGAGAATTCTCCGACTTTCAGAGGATCTAACACTCATCCTCCTTCCTCACTCATCCCTCATCATCCCGTGCCCATCATCTGTGTGCGAATGTTGTGTCTTCACGCTGAATTTTTGCAGCGAGTTGCAAATACGCAAAAGCTGTAGAAAGCGGCACCTACGTATTCGTCTCCCTTGTCTAGTTCTCGTTTTTTTCCGAAATAACATTTTGCCTCATCTTCATGCTGTTCTTCTTATACTCCTCTAGGAAGCGGAACAGATATTTGCTCGTGCGCTAATTATTGGAGGGCGGCAACTGGATCAGAGTCAAACGCCTTGACCATTGAATCACGAGCTCGTTGTCTCTCGGTCAGGTGAACGCTCATCAGCGAGTGCTCTTGCAGCTAGTACCGTGACAGCGTGTTTGGCAAGCTCTATGAAGATTCCTAATAACCACGTTTATGTGTATTATCTGAAAGTGACTCTTTTTGTTGAACGTACTTTGCGGTAGCGTCGCTTTCTAGATTCATTCCGCATAAATTGGCCGTGGATGTGTTTGACCTTATGTGCATCGTCTTCTATTTTGCTGGATTGACTTTTGTGGAGAGTCACTGCCTCCGGTCTGAAAAGTTACTCGAAAAAACCTTGATCAGAGCCGCCTCGCGAAACTGATTACCTGGAAAAATCACCCCAAGCTGCCACACGTCAGGCTGGCTTTTGAATAAAAAAAATTTTGCACACAGGACACCTCGTGGAAGTTGACTGCGCTTATGGTGTATATCTTCCGCTGGTTTTGAAGTCATATTTTGCAGAAAGTGTGCAGAAAAAGCAATTTCCTTCTAAAATTCGCTACTTGAACGTAAAGCACGCCTCCCTTTGGAGATGTCTTTTGGGGCAAACCTTGCGTCTTTAGATTACAGGCTACCATTTACTCTGTTTTCCGTCAAGACAACGACGTATTCTGCAAAAGTTGATTTGGCAGCAAGGTGTATTTCATTTCACTAGGTTGCCTCAAATAGTTCATTTTGATTCGTAGCCTGTTCTCCAGGTTCTCAAACTGCACGCAATAACTTTTTCCTAAATGAAATACTCAAAAATTAGAATTTTCTAACATTACTGCAATGTGCATGGACCGTACTGCGGGCTTCATATGCATCTCTGAAACGAGAATAACGCATCGTATAATTAGCCATACGAACTTCTCCGACACCTTTGAAATAGGAACCAGTTTAAAATCACATAGTCCCTTAAAGTGCATCGGTTATCCCAGATGGAGTTGCACGTAGGGGGACTAAGTTAATCGATTTTTCACTCACCTTTTGTATTAAATGCTGCTTAGTTTAGCCAGGTAGTATTGATTAATGACTCGATGCATGCTGTTTATGTAGGCTGATTTATAGACGGGGTCGAAACTAATGGCGACCATAAGCCAATATATCTCTGTTCAAGTATTTATTAATTCGTTTTGCGACTTATCTTGAGTATTTTCCCGGTACCATTGTGTCGTGGGGTCGTCTGGGGAAAGTGTGAAGCGCGCCCCGCAGGCACA